TGATTTTCCTTAAATAATAAAATCCAAATTTGCAAATGGTTGATACTTGTGATTCCATAGTAACATTTGAGTCCATTATAATCCCAATATTTCTCGCCTTGGTAGAGAGGCTAATGACATCATCACAAACATTTATATAAGACAAAGATGGACTTGGACGATGGCGAGCAGAAAACACCAGTATCTCTGTCTTGTCACTGTTCAACTTTAGCTTATTCATGGTCAACCATTCATCTAATTCACGGACACACTCTTCGATCTTCGTTTTTGCAACTATCAGATCGTCTGGATTATGTGATTTGAAAGTAACATATAATTGCGTGTCATCGGCATAAAGATGGAAGTCGATGCCCAATGATCTCATAAGGTCTCCAATTGGTGCTATATACAGTGAAAAAAGCATTGGCCCCAAAATACTACCCTGTGGAACACCAGATCGTAGAGTGCGTTTAGTGGATTGACCACCCGAGACATGCACCGTAAATGTTCTTTCATTAAGATATGATTCAAACCACTTATGAGCCTTTCCAGTGATTCCATATCTAGAAGATAGCCTGGACAATAATATTTCGTGATCAATCGTATCGAAGGCGGCAGAAATGTCAAGCAGCAATAAAATCACTGAATTTTGATTATCAATGGCTTGTAGAATGTCATTTTGAACCTTTATTAATGCCGTCTCGGTACTATGGTGTTTCTTGAACGCAGATTGCATGGGTTCGTCCAAATTATTACTTGTGATATGTTGATCCAACTGAGTTGCTACCACTTTCTCTATGCATTTTGATACAAATTTAAGGTTTGAAATAGGCCGGAAACTTGAAAATTCATCAGTGCTTAGACTATCTTTCTTAAGTCTTGGATCAAGAGCAGCACATTTTAAATTGTTTGGCACAGTGGCTGTTTCCAGTGAAATATTAGTTATTTTAGTGATAACCGGTAATAAATCAGTATAACATTCCATTAGTACCTTCGCTGGGATTGGGTCAAGTATGCATGATTTTTTAACCAATTTTCGTGTGAGCACAAGCAAATCCTCCGTCGTTGTAGGCGCAAATGATTCAAGTTTGGTGTCTTTTGATAATAGCTGCAAAAGTGATTCTAATTTTAAAAAAAACTATCTACTGTACATTTAGATTCACGTGTCCAAAACTAAAAGCCATATCTGAAAACCGTGAGGAGATATTGGTGTGTTTATACATGTAATTTTGACGCTAAATTTTTTGTAGATTTCTGATCTGAATATTGAAAGTGGATTGACATAGTACACGTATAAAAACCTTTGTATCTTATTGTTCTTTTTACATATGACTTTCGTTCTTGGACACAGCAATGCACTTGGCCTTGAGGTGACTTGCCTGTATTGGAGCTATTTTTTTGGATTATATTAAGGAGGTTATATGTGGCTAAACTTGGCGGTATTTTTACCAAATAAACCACACTTAGTACCATGTCGTTTAATGCAGCCTGCTGAATGCTTCTGACTTTTTTCACCATCAACAGTATACAATACAATAACATTTATTTAACGTGATCAAATACACTTAGCTACAGAAAAAGCTAATTTACAGGTATTGCCACGATAATATTAATTGTTTATAAGACTATAGTAAAAAGAAGACTAAATTAGATTATACTTTGTTAGATCTTATTGCTACAAACTTCTCACAAAACATAAGCCGCTCTGGTGTAGTGTGTACCGGTTTGAGTGATCATGAGATGGTTTACTGTATTAGGAAAATTAACTGAAAGAGGCCACTAGAAAGGATTAGAACAGTAAGAAATTATGCAAAGTATGATGCGCCAAAGTTCTGCGAGGATTGTGTTAATGTCTTTAACAATACCCTAGGTACATCATGCTTATCCGTTAATGAACTTTGGTCACGGTTCAAGTCACTCTTTACTGAAATAGCTGATAGGCATGCACCGTTAATGAATAAGAAAGTAAGGTCTAATCACCCTTGTGCATGGATAAACAGCGAGATTAAGGAAGAAATCAGACAGCGTGACCATGAACTTAAAAAGGCTAGGAAATCTAATTCAAATGAAGATTGGGCAACATACCGTAGGACTAGAAATATAATAACAAACAGAATCCGCTCAGCGAAAGAAAAATATCATAGGAATTTTATTTATGACGATAGTCATAACCCACGATCGTTTTGGAAAACTATGAAAAAGGTCTTTCCTGTAGAGAGTAAACATGTGGCGACCAGGGATGCCGGAAGATCGATATTAGCGGGGGCAGATATTCATATATTCGTGTTCACAGACTGTAAAAACAATCGATTTCAAAAGAAATTAATTGGGCAGAACAGGAATATATGAATATCTGCACCCGCTATTATCGATCTTCCGGCATCCCTGGTGGCGACTAATGCATTGATTGATGGAAAACTGAGTAAAGATAAACAACAAATTGCTAACGCATTTGGTGTATACTTTACTGAAACAGTATCGCGGCTGCACCAATCGCTTAGTAATCTTTGTAAAAACATCGGAAATATTACATCGCAGTGTTTTTTCAAACGTTTAAATAGTGGTTTTGTATTTAAATTCGAGGAAGTGAAAGAGCAGTTTATTCTAAATAATTTGCGTAAAATTGATGTTAAGAAAGCAGCTGGATTAGATAATATACCACCACGACTTCTGAAAGACTCCGCTAATGTTATTGCCAGACCACTCACAAAGATCATTAACGTATCCCTCGAACAAGGAACAATGCCTGATGATTTCAAACTTGCTAAGGTAATTCCTGTTTTTAAGAAAGGACAACCCGGATATATGGACAACTACAGACCGATCTCAGTTCTTCCTACAGTGTCTAAGCTATTAGAGAAAGCAGTCCATGATCATGAGCAGTTGTATAGATTTTTAACAACGAATCATCTCTTGAATCCTTACCAGTGTGGTTTCCGTAAATATCACTCAACGGAAACTGCGGTTATTTCTCTCACAGACTCTATTCGAAGGAACATTGACCAAAAGATGATTACAGGAGCCATATTTGTAGACCTTAGGAAGGCGTTTGACACCGTAGACCGCTCCCTACTTTTGGCCAAGTTGGAGAGTTACGGCGTAGTTGAAAGTGAACTTGAGTGGTTTAGTAGTTACCTTAACGATCGATCGCAAATAGTTACCTTTCAGAATATGCAATCATTGCCATGTAATATTTCGTCTGGAGTACCACAGGGGTCTATTTTAGGGCCCCTACTGTTCGTCTTGTTTATTAATGATCTTCCAGCAGCTGTTCAACAATGCAATGTTCTGATGTATGCCGATGACACGGTACTTTTCTTCGCAGACAGGGACAGTGGTGTAATACAGAATGTGTTAACAACCGAGCTAGAAAATTTGAGAGCTTGGCTGATGGAAAACAAACTGTCTCTTAATAGGAAAAAAACAGAGACGATGTTGTTTGGAACTAATGCAAACTTATCAAAGGTAACTAATTATGAGCTCTCAATTGATGGCTTTCCATTGAAGCGTGTAACTGATTATTGTTACCTTGGTATTACTTTAAATGCAAATTTGTCTTGGCATTCACATGTTGATAATATAGCAATGAAAGTGGGCAGAAGAATTGGTATGTTACGTCGACTACGGAAAACCTGACCCTAAATGCGGCGGAAACGGTTTATAAGTCTTCATTCGCCCTCTTATGGAGTATGGGGACACTATTTGGACGTGCTGTGGTGAGCAAAACAAAGGAAGGCTTGAGATACTCCAAAAGCGTGCTGCCAGAGTGATTTCCAGGTACCCGCGAAGTGATGACGCAATGGCAAGCCTCAGATGGGACAGCTTAGAATCAAGAAGAGACGTACATGTTCTCAAACTGGTTAAAAAATGTATTCTAGGGAAATGTCCACAATTTTTTAATAATTATTTCGTTTTTAATCGTGACAGTTCCTCGCGAATAACAAGACAATCAGACAAACTGCGTTTGCCTAAAGTAAGAACTGAATGTGCAAAGAATTCTTTTTATTATTATGGATGCAAGGTTTTTAATAAGTCTAATTAAGTCGATCGCGACATATAGATAGTTAGTTTATTGTAGGGATTATAGATAATTTTATACTATTTTAGATAAAACTGTATTGTAGATATACTGTATATTTTTCAGGGCCCCTAAGGATAACAGTGAACATTCACTGATTGGGTCACCCTGTGTAAATAAAGATCTTACATTACATTACATTACATTTGTAGTTATTACATTAGTTTGATCTAAGTGAAAATGCGTTAAGTTACTGTAGATTGTCTAAGATTCTAATGTCGTTTAAACTAATACTGTTTGAAAATATTTCGTAGTTTTCTGTGGCTCTAGCAGTGTCAGGAAGCGAATTCCATAGTTTTGCTGCCTGGTATCGCCAGGATTTCAGCCCATAAGTTGTGGTATTCACCTTTGGAATTTGAAGAATATGTTTTCCTCTCAATGAATATTTGCTTTGCCTTAGATTTTGTAATTCCTTTAAGCTCGCTGGATAGTTGCTGTGATTTAATGATCTATACACATTACAAATAATTTTTTTAATTCGTTCGTGCCTCAAAGTTGAGAGTCCCAGTTTTGCGAGAAGTTCCTCGTAGGGTGCGTACCTGCCCCTGAAAACAAAGCGGATCGCACGTTCGTTTACTTTCTCCAACTTGTCAGCTGTGATCTTCTTACAAAAATGCCAGGTTTCAAAACAGTACCTGAAATGCGGTGCGATAAAGCACGTATAAATGTTAGATCTCATTTCGAATGGGAGTATATTTCTCATACGCTTTAAAACTGCAGTTTGTTGAGACACTTTCCGGCATATTTTTGCTGCATGTTTTTTAAATTTCAGCTTGTTATCCATAGTGACCCCAAGAAGTTCCATTTCCTCGCAGTTGGGAATGGTTGTGTTTTCACAGCGAAATTCAAGATTGCCTTTTGGTTTTCCCATTACGATTCCTTGGTACTTGGAGAGATTTCTTTGAATTCTATTTTCTTTATACCACTGGTCAACGTTGGCTAAATCAGAGTTAATGACTTCTTCCACACTGAAAAGCAGTGGGCCAAGGATGGAGCCTTGGGGTATTCCTGCAGAAATGTTCTCCCATGAAGAGTAGTTACTTCCGAGCTTGACCCTTTGACGTCGGTTAGAGAGATAGTCCGTGATTAGCGTCGTTGTTTTTTGGTCAGCGCCGTATTGTTTCAACTTCTGGACAGTTAAGTCTTGTCGCAGTGTGTCAAAAGCTTTTGAACGATTCATCGCCACAAGACCAATCACCTTGTGATTGTCGAGTTCCTTCTTCCATTCTTCTGTCAAGGATAGAATAGCTGTATCACATCCGTGATATTTTCTATACGCAAAAACGTATTTGTGGTATATTTTCTCAAAATGAGGGCTCATTCTCAGCTCTACTATCTTCTCAAATACCTTAGAGAGGGAAGGCAAAATCGTTAAAAATCTATAGTTAATTTGGCTCAGTTCACATTCTTTCTTATATACAGGTGTTATTTCGCCGGATTTCCATTGCTGAGGGATTTTTCCATTGCCCAGAATATAGTTAATTAATGTGCTCAGTGGATAGCAAAGCACTTCAGCTGAGTCTTTCACCAGTCGAGGCGGGATAAGGTCGTATCCTGTAGCTTTATTTATTTTAACATCTTCTAGTATCTCTCTAACTTCTACGTAATTAGTTTCCTTCAGTGATAATGTTGGCACATTTACAACGTTTTCAGCTATGTGATTTAAGTCTGGCATAGGTCTATTTGCATGATCGGAGTCTGGAACATAAGCATCGCTCGAAAAATATTTATTCAATGTCTCCACCACTTCTTTCGTGTCAGTAATTATCTTTTCATTGTCTTTAATAACAATACGACTATTGCTTTTAATTTTCCTTGAATTAATGTACGGTTTTATAGTGCTCCAGAACTTCTTCTGACTTCCGTGTTTGTCTACGCAGAGTTCCCTGAAATGCTCTTGGACCGATTTCCTTCGCATGCTGACTACCTTATTTCTGATCTGGCGCTATTGCTCCCAATCTGTAGGGTTTCTAAATTTATAATACTTTTTCTTTAAACGGTTCCTTTCTTTCATGGCATTTCGGGTTTCTGCAGTGATAAACTTTGATGCTATTCGTTGCCGGCGATAAAACTGTCTTATTAGCGCATGATCATCAAGCACCTGATTATAGAGTGTTTCCCAGCACCAATAAACGTCGTCTGAGTCGTCAAATATGTAAGCAGTAGTGAATGGTACTTTACTGAGATCCTCAAGGAACGCCTTCTGATTCAAATTTTTAAGCGAGCGTTTGATGAGGGGCTCTGATTTAGGTCGCATAGGCTTTATGTTTAGAACTGTATATACCAAGTAATGATCGCTGAGTCCTGTTTCTACAACATCAGAGTCTCCCATAAATGCTGGCACGTTTGTTATAATAACGTCAAGGCAAGACGATCCATTTTCTGATACTCGCGTTGGTTTATTAATAAGAGAATCTAAATCGTAAATGTCGCAAATATCCAGCAAGCATTTCCCTTGTTTATTGTTGGACAGAGGCTGCAATAAATCATAATTCAAGTCTCCAGTGCAAACAATATTTTCACCTAATAGAAACGCTACGTCTAATACCATTGATAATTCAGTGGTGAACGCGTTATTGTCTACCGAGGGTGGTTTATATGCGCTGATTAATGCAAATTGTCCCTGTCCGACGCGTAATTGCAGTAGAATGGTCTCGAGCTGTTTGCATGCAATTTTCTTTTCTTGTGCAATAATGTTTTCTTTTATGTAGACAATAATGCCGCCTCCGCCTTTCTTTCGATCCCTACGAAAATATTTAAATCCTTCGACGTAAAATTGAGAATTTGGGAAGGTTTTATCAATTTTTGTTTCTTGAATTGAGAGAATATCGAAAACACCACAGCGTAGCCACTTTTTGATTTCGACAAATTTGTTCGGTAGACTGTTTACATTTAAGCTAGCTATTAAACATTTCTTATGATTAGCATCCCTTAACTGTTTTAAATTATCAGTCAAGATTGATTTGTTGTTAGTTTCCGAGTCTGCTATTTCAGGAGTCGTGAGTTCGCAATGATTATTTTCAAAAAGCGAGTCACTAAAGTTTGGTAATGCGCACATAGTACACACCAAATCGTTATTGGACTGTATGGTGTTGTTTTTGTTTGTCCAACTATATATTTTAAGACATTTTGCATGAAATCGAGCTTCACAGTCCGTGCAGATAATAGCGTTTTGATTTCGTCTGACCTTCTTACGGCACTCCCTGCAGAAATACTTGGAATTGCTTCCTTTTGGTCCTGGGTTAAGTGAAACGTCTCCACAGGTTAGTAGTTTTCCTTCCATGTTAAATGGGCTAATACCGTTCGTTGTGTAGAGAATTTTCCCAGACAAAATTCGTCGTCCGTGACGATCCATCGCTCTCCTCACCGTATAAATTCCTTGACTTTGTAATTCAAGTGTTTTCCCAACACAAGGTGGGTTAACAATCGAGTTCCCTTCACATACTGTCCTGTCCTGTCCTTACTCGATAATTTGTCGTAAAATAAACACGAGAGGCAAAGTAAGAGCAAAGAAACGGCAGAGCTAATTCTGTTGCCGAGCACCATATTTAACCGATTTATAAAAATAAGAAATATGAAATAAAAAGTATTGTTGAAATAAAAAGTATTAAACTGGCTCTGGAAAAAATCCATAATACGCCTAATGTGCCGTAGGATAGCTACCTTACATGCCTTAAACATACGACTTAGTCTGTTACATTGCCGTCCTTATTTCTACAAGTTTGGAATGCATTGTAGTAATCGGATTAAACCTAGCAGAGTTACTTTGATTTCTTTCAATTTTTTTTCCAGATTTCTGATCTCAATATTGAAAGTGGGTTGACATAGTACACGCATAAAAGCCTCTCTATCTTATCGTTCTTTTTACCTATGACTTTTGTCCTTGGACACAAAAATGTACATGGCCTTGAAATGAGTTGAGTTGTATCCGAGCTACTTTTGGATTTACATTAAGGTGGCTATATGTGATTAAACTTGGGGTATTTTTACCAAATAAATTTCCATTACTACTAGGCCTTTTACTGCAGCCTGCCCAAGGTTTGCGACATTTTTGTCCATCAAAAGGTGCATCTTTTCCAATAGTCTATTTTTGGAAAACGGTATTAAGGTTGCTCTACACAAGAAAATCTATAATACGCCTACTGTGCCGTAGGAGAGCTACCTTAAAATCGTTAGAGATTGGACTTAGCCTGCTACATTACCGTGTTTATTTCTTCAAGTGTGGTATGTTTCGTTGTAATCGAGTTAAACCCAGCCGAGGTATTTCGATTTGTATCTTTAAAATACACAATATTTGACGGGGAATACCCAGCTGAATATATATCAACAAGTCGTCCTATGTCAACAAGAACTAGCTACTGGACATTTAGATAGACGTGTCCAAAACTAAAATCCATATCTGGAAACTGTAAGGAGATATATACTTGCGTCTATACATGAAATTTTCACTCTAAACTTTTTGTAGATATCTGATCTCATTATTGCAAGTCGATTGACATATTACACGTATAAAACCTCTGTATCTTATTGTTCTTTTTACATTTGACTTTTGTTCTTGGGCACAGCAATGTGCTTGGCCCTTTTAAGAGTTGATCTTTATCATAGCTACTTTTTAGAATTATATTAAGGTGGCTATATGTCAGTAAACTTGGGCTATTATTAACATGTAAACTTCCAGTACTATTATGCTTTATAATGCACCCTGCGCAAGGTTGGTGACTTCTTTCTCCATCCAAATCTGTGTGGTCGCGTGTAGCTGAATTCTGGAAAAAAAAGTATTAAGTTGGCTACAGACCAGAAAATCCATAATACGCCTGATGTGACGTAGAAGAGCCTCCTTAAATATGTTCGAAATGAGTCTTGGTGTGCCAGTTAATCTTTACTAGTTCTATAAGCGAGATAAATTTTGTAGAAATCAAATGAAAGGCGGAAGAGTTATTTCCATTTGTATCTTTAAAATAGATAATGTTTAACGGGCAATAGCCACCTTAATATTTACCAAAAAGTGGTCCTAATTAAAAAAAAACTATCTACTGTCCATTTAAATTCACGTGTCCAAAACTAAAAGCCATTTCTGAAAACCGTGAGGAGATATACGTGTGTTTATACATGAAATTTTGACACTAATTTTTTTGTAGACCTCTGATCTCAATATTGAAAGTGGATTGACATAGTACACGTATAAAAACCTCTCTATCTTATCGTTCTTTTTACATATGACTTTCGTTCTTGGACACAGCAATGCACTTGGCCTTGAGATGACTTGCCTGTATTGGAGCTACTTTTGGCATTATATTAAGGAGGTTTTATGTGGCTAAACTTGGCGGTATTTTTACCAAATCAACCACACTTAGTACCATGTCTTTTAATGCAGCCTGCTGAATGGTTCAGACTTTTTTCACCATCAACAGTATAGTTGAGTTTTGAAATAAAATGTATTAAGGTGGCTCGATATAGTTATCACGAAAACCCTGCTCAAGAATCGCGAACTCAAAACCGGGTGACCATTTTTACGCGCAGGTCGCGGAAACTGATTAACAAAATGACAGAACTTCCAAAATGACCTGACGTAAGCAGCTGCTCGCGCCATCTCACGTCATTTCGCGTGTTCTATATAGCGTTTTATGTCAATTGCTGACGTCATTAGAATTTTCCATTTTAGAAAAACAATGTGCTATATCTCTTTATTTTGTCTGGTGACCTATGTTCAAATTTTGCATGCTGTATTGCACCGCTAAAAACTTTCATTATACAAAAAATAAAAAAATTCTGTAATGCCAAAAAAATTTTACCGAAGAATATGACATTTTCGCATTTTCCAAAAAAACGGCATTACAGAATTTTTTTATATTTTTCTAATTGTTAGCTTTTCGTCCAAGTACAATAATGCAAGAAAAAAAATTGGGGGTCACCATGCTTCTTTTCCAACTATACGAGACGATACGCCATTTTGGAGTGTATTTTGTACACGTATGTCGTCATAGCAACGAACTATCTGTTACTAAAACTAATATAATTTGAAAGTAGAGATATCGAAATATATCAAAAACCCAATATCTGCTGAATATATTCTAAAAATGCATAGTTTGAACATTTCAAAGTGTTGAACACCTGAATTTTTGAAAACTGTATCGAGCCACCTTAAGGTAGCTCTAGAAAAAATCCAAAATACGCCTAATCTGCCGTAGGATAGCTACCTTACGTGCCTTAAACATGCGACTTAGTATGTTACATTGCCGTCCTTATTTCTACAAGATTGGAATGCATTGTAGTAATCGGATTTACCCCAGCAGACTTACTTTGATTTCTTTCTTTAAAATAGACAATGTTTGACGGGCAATAGCCACCTTAATATATATCACCAAGTAGTACAATTTCAAGAACATCTATCTACTGGACATGTAGGTAGACGTGTCCGAAACTAAAATCAATATCTGGAAACCATAAGGAGAAATAAGTGTGCTTATACAAGTAGTATTGATGCTAATTTTTTTGTAGATTTCTGATCTCAATTTTGAAAGTGGATTGACATAGTAGGCGTATAAAAACCTCTCTATCTTATCGTTCTTTTTACATATGACTTTCGTTGTTGGACACACCAATGCACCTGGCCTTGAGATGACTTGCCTGTATTGCCGCTACTTTTGGAATTATATAAAGGAGGTTATATGTGGCTAAACTTGGGGGTATTTTTACCAAATAAACCACCATTAGCACCAGGCCTTTTAATGCAGCCTGCTGAATGTTTCTGACTTTTTTCACCATGAAATGGTACATCTTTCAGTCTACTTGAGTTTTGAAATAAAAAGTATTAAGGTGGCTCTGGAAAAAATCCCTAATACGCCTATCGTGCCGTAGGATAGCTACCTTACATGCCTTAAAAATACGACTTAGTCTGTTACATTGCCGTCATTTCAGTGTAGTTGAGTTTTGAAATAAAGAGTTTTAAGATGTCCCTGGAAAAAAATCTCTAATACGCCTATCGTGCCGCAGGAACCTACCTTACATGCCTTAAACAAAGGACTTAGTCTGTTACATTGCCGTCATTATTTCTACAAGTTTGGAATGTTTCGTAGTAATCGGATTAAACCCGGCAGAGTTATTTTGATTTTTTTCTTTAAAATAGACTATGTTTGACGGCCAATAGCCACCTTAAGATATATCACCATGTAGTACAATTTCAACAAGAACTACCTACTGGACATTTCGTTTGTAGTATCCGAAACTAAAATCCATATCTGGAAACTGTGGGGAGAAATACGTGTGTTTATAAAGTAATATTGACGTTAAATTTTTTGTAGATTTCTGATCTCAATATTGAAAGTGGACTGACATAGTACACGTATAAAAACCTCTCTATCTTATCGTTCTTTTCACATATGCCTTTTGTTCTTGGACACAGCAATGTACATGGCGTTGAAATGAATTGCGTTGTATCCGAGCTACATTTGGAATTATATTAAGGTGGCGATATGTGACTAAACTTGGGGTATTTTTACCAAATAAATCTCCATTACTACTAGGCCTTTTAATGCAGCCTGCCCAAGGTTCGTGACTTTTTTGTCCATCAAAAGTTGCATCTTTTGCAATAGTCTATTTTTGGAAGAAGGTGTAAAGGTTGGTCTACACAAGAAAATCTATATTACGCCTAATGTGCAGTAGGAGAGCTACCTTAAAATCGTTAGAGATTGGACTTAGTCTGTTACATTACCGTGTTTATTTCTTCAAGTGTGGTATGTTTCGTTGTAATCGGGTTAAACGCAGCAGAGTTATTTCGATTTGTATCTTTAAAATACACAATGTTTGACGGGCAATAGCCAGCTGAGTATATATCAACAAGTCGTCCTATTTCAACAAGAACTAGCTACTGAAGATTTAGATTGACGTGCCCAAAACTAATATCCATATCTGGAAACTGTAAGGAGATACACGTGCGTTTATACACGAAATTTTGAAGCTAAACTTTTTGTAGATTTCTAATCTCGTTATTGCAAATGGATTGCCATATTATGCGTATAAAATCCTGTTCATCTTATTGTTCTTTTTAGCTGACTTTCATTCGATCGGCGCTAATTTTGCAATTATATTAAGGTGGCTATATGTGTCTAAACTTGGGCTATTTTTGCCAAGTAAACCTCCATTACTACTTGGTTTTTTAATGCAGCCTGCTCAAGGTTTGTGACTTTTTCTCCATCACAAGCTGCATCTTTGGGAATATTCAATTTTTGCAAAAAGTATTAAGGTGGCTCTACAGAAGAAAATTTATAATACGCCTAATGTTCCGTAGGAGAGCTTCCTTAAGTGCGTTAGAGGTACAACTTAGTCTTTTACATTACCGTGTTTACATTTACAAGTGTGATATATTTCGTAGTTATCGGATTAAACCCAGCCGAGGTATTTCGATTTGTATCTTTAATATAGCCAACGTTTGACGGGCAATAGCCACTTGAATATATATCAAAAAGTTGTTTTATTTAAAAAAAAAAACTATCTACTGGATATCTAGGTTGACGTGTCCAAAACTAAAATCCATATCTGAAAACCGTAAGGAAATATACGTGTGTTTATACATGTAATTTCGCGGCTAAATTTTTTCTAGATTTCTGATCTCATTATTGCAAGTCGATTGACATATTACACGTATAAAACCTCTCAATCTTACTGTTCTTTTCACATATTACATTCGTTCCGGGGCACAGCAATGTACTTGGCCCTTACATGAAGAGAGCTGTATCATAGCTACATTTGGAATTATATTAAGGTGGCTATATGTTGCTAAACCCGGGCTATTTTTACCTAGTAAACCTCCAGTATTATTAGGGCTTTTAATGCATCCTGCGCAAGTTTTGTGACTTGTTTCTCCATCAAAAGCTGCATGTTCGTGTATAGTTGAATTTTGGAAAAAGTATTAAGGTGGCTATGGAAGAGAAAATCCATAATACGGCTGATGTGCCGTAGGAGAGCCATCTTAACTTTTTTGGAGATGAGCCTTGGCGTGTACGTTGAACTTGATTATTTCTAGAAGTGTGGTACATGTAATAGAAATCGAATTAAAGGCAGAAGAGTTATTTCAATTTGTATCTTTAAAATGGACAGTATTTGACGGGCAATAGCCACCTCAATATATATGAACAATGTACTCCTATTTCAACAACAACTATCTAATGGACATGTAGATTGACGGGTCGAAAAATAAAATCCATATCTGAAAGCCGTAAGGAGAAATACCTGTGTTTATACAAGTAATATTAACGCTAAATTTTTTTGCAGATTTCTGATCTCAATATTGAAAGTGGATTGACATAGTACACTTATAAAAGCCTCTCTATCTTATCGTTCCTTTTACATATGACTTTCGTCCTTGGACACAGCAATGTACATGGTCTTGAAATGAGTTGAGTTGTATCCGAGCTACTTTTGGAATTATATTAAGGTGGCTATATGTGACTAAACTTGGGGTATTTTTACCAAATAAATCTCTATTACTATTAGGCCTTTTAATGCAGCCTGCCTAAGTTTTGCGACATTTTTGTCCATTAAAATGTGTTTCTTTTCCAATAGTCTATTTTTGGAAAACGTCATTGAGGTTGCTCTACACAAGAAAATCTGTAATACGCCTAATGTGCCGTAGGAGAGCTACCTTAAAATCGTTAGAAATTGGACTTAGTCTGTTACATTACCGTGTTTATTTCTTCAAGTGTGGTATGTTTGTTGTAATCGGGTTAAACCCAGCAGAGTTATTTCGATTTGTATCTTTAAAATACACAATGTTTGACGGGGAATAGCCACCTGAATATATATCAACAAGTCGTCCAATTTCAACAAGAGCTAGCTACTGCACATCTAGATAGACGTGTCCAAAACTAAAATCCATATCTGGAAACGGTAAGGAGATATATACTTGTGTTTATAGATGAAATTTTGACTCTAAACTTTTTGTAGATTTCTGATGTCATTATTGCAAGTCGATTGACGTATTACACGTATAAAACCTCTCTATCTAGCTTATTGTTCTTTTTACATTTGACTTTCTTTCTTGGGCACAGCAATGTACTTGGCGCTTTCAAGAGTTGATCTTTATCATAGCTACTTTTTTGAATTATATTAAGGTGGCTATATGTCGCTAAACTTGGGCTATTATTAACATGTAAACCTCCAGTACTATTATGCTTTTTAATGCACCCTGCGGAAGGTTGGTGACTTCTTTCTCCATCCAAATCTGCATGTTCGTGTGTAGCTGAATTCTGGCAAAAAAGTATTAAGTTGGCTACAGACCAGAAAATCCATAATACGTCTGATATGACGTAGAAGAGTGTCCTTAAATATGTTCGGGATGAGTCTTGGTGTGCCAGTTAATCTTTACTAGTTCTATAAGTGTGATAAATTTTGTAGAAATCAAATGAAAGGCGGAAGAATTATTTCCATTTGTATCTTTAAAATAGATAATGCTTAACGGGCAATAGCCACCTTAATATTTACCAAAAAGTGGTTCTAATTAAAAAAAACTATCTACTGTACATTTAGATTCACGTGTCCAAAACTAAAAGCCATATCTAAAAACCGTGAGGAGATATACGTGTGTTTATATATGTAATTTTGACGCTAAATTTTTTGTAGATTTCTGATCTCAATGTTGAAAGTGGATTGACATAGTACACTTATAAAAACCTCTCTATCTTATCGTTCTTTGTACATATGTCTTTCGTTCTTGGACACAGCAATGCGCTTGGCCTTGAGATGACTTGCATGTATTGGAGATACTTTTGGAGTTATATTAAGGAGGTTACATGTGGCTAAACTTGGCGGTATTTTTACCAAATAAACCACACTTAGTACCATGTCGTTTAATGCAGCGTGCTGAATGTTTCTGACTTTTTTCACAATCGACAGTATACAATACAATACAATAACATTTATTTAACGTGATCAAATACACTTAGCTACAGAAAAACCTAATTTACAGGTATTGCCACGGTAATATTAATTGTTTGTAAGACTTTAGTAAAAAGAAGACCAAATTAGATTTGTAGTTATTACATTAATTTGATCTAACAAAGTGAAAATGCGTTAAGTTACTGTAGATTGTCTAAGATTCTAATGTCGTTTAAACTAATACTGTTTGAAAACATTTCGTAGTTTTCTGTGGCTCTAGCAGTGTCAGGAACGAATTCCATAGTTTTGCTGCCTGGTATCGCCAGGATTTCAGGCCGTAAGTTGTGGTATTCACCTTTGGAATTTGAAGAATATGTTTTCCTCTCAATGAATATTTGCTTTGGCTTATATTTTGTAATTCCTCTAAGCTCGCTGGATAGTTGCTGTGATTTAATGATCTATACACATTACAAATAATTTTTTTAATTCGTTCGTGCCTCGAAGTTGAGGGTCCCAGTTTTGCGAGAAGTTCCTCGTAGGGTGCGTACCAGCCTTGAAAACAAAGCGGATCGCACGATCGTTCACTTTCTCCAACTTGTCAGCTGTGATCTTGTTACAAAAATGCCAGGTTTCAGAACAGTACCTGAAATGCGGTGCGATAAAGCACGTATAAATGTTAGATCTTATTTCGAATGGGAGTATATTTCTCATACGCTTTAAAACTGCAGTTTGTTGAGACATTTTCCGGCATATTTTTGCTACATGTTTTTCAAATTTCAGCTTGTTATCCATAGTGACCCCAAGAAGTTCCATTTCCTCGCAGTTGGGAATGGTTGTGTTTTCACAGCGAAATTCAAGATTGGCGTTTGGTTTTCCCATTACGATTGCTTGGTACTTGGAGAGATTTCTTTGCATTCTATTTTCTTTATACCACTTGTCAACTTTGGATAAATCAGAGTTAATGACTTCTTCCACTTTTGCAGGGTCTTTATCCGCATAGGAGATCTGTGTAGCGTCCGCGTAAGCTGATAATTTGCTGTGTTTGATAACAGATACAAGGTCATTCATAAAAATATTGAAAAGCAGTGGGCCAAGGATGGAGCCTTGAGGTATTCCTGCAGAAATGTTCTCCTATGAAGAGTAGTTACTTCCGAGCTTGACCCTTTGACGTCGGTTAGAGAGATAGTCCGTGAGTATGTGGTTAATCTTTGTTTAACCACATACTCAAGTCGTATGGACAAGGCAGTAACCGAGAATGAGTGTGTTGAGTTGTTAAATCAATATTTAACATTTGATGGTGATGAATTTCGATGGACGGGCACTTGTAATCAATTAAAAAGATATTTTGATAAAGATCTGAAGCTTTCTGGCAATTGGACTTCCCCAAGTGGCGGAGTGTGGCTATTATCAACCGACGAATTTCAAGTCAAATGGCAGAAGTCCATGAAGCTGGTCATCGTTCGAGATAACTCAGATAAGTTTATGTTAAATTGTCTTATGAAGTCGAGAATGGTGAATAACCCTAGATCAAACCAGCCTATTAGCCCTGTCGTCGTTTTAAACGACGTTTATGCCGACGTCGCCTCCGCTACAGGCGATAATAATGTCAATGAAGTCAACAATTACTCAAATGCGTTTGAAATGTCTGTTAATAACAAACTCGAGAATATCCTCAAAGTTCTGTCTGAGTTTAAATATATTAATGCTAATCTGCAAGAAGAAAACACGACTATGAAGAGAAGCTTTGAAGATTTAACACATAGACATGAAAATCTAATGTCTGTCTCTTCGGATTTAAACCAAAGAGTTAAAGACCTTGAAAACGAGAGGTCAAGCCTGTTAACAGCTATTAAACTCATCTATTGTGAGAGGAGCAATAGTGAGAATTGTATTACGGCAGGCCCGCCAGAAAATCTTTCCAGTAAGTCTACTGCTGACGCCTCCGTTTCCACATGCGATGCTCAAATCCAAGTAATAGATTTGGAGAAAAGTGGGGAAAGTGAAAAGGCTAAGCTGAATGAGGGCAACATCAATCCTAAAGGCGGTAGAAATATCAAAGGTCGGAAAAATCGTACGACTAATGTTAATCAGCAAAGTGAGAATTCCCATGGTAATTGTCCTGACAATGCTGAGATTAGCATTCGACCTAACCACGGCAATTACCATAATGATCAGAGCGTTATTGCCCATGATCAAAGCATGGGCGGCCACAATCAAAGCGTTGCCGGCCATAATAATGACAAGGCTAAACCTAAGAAAAAAGTAACTGTCATAGCTGGGGATTCTATTGTGAAAAACCTGCAAGGCTGGAGATTATCTGACACCAACAACCATGTAGTGATCAAGAGCTTTGCGGGTGCTACTATCGATGATATGGAAGACTATTTGAAGCCTATTATCCGTAAAGAACCAGAATCAATAGTATTCCATGTAGGCACTAACGATTTAATGAACTTGTCACCCAAGCAAGTTGCCGAAGGCATTGGAAACCTAGGTTCCCAGATAAACGAAGAATCTCGTAATACTAACATTGTAATATCTAGTTTACTAGTAAGAACAGATAAGCCCCACTTACCTGCCAAGGCAATCGAAACTAACAAATTGTTAAACGCTATATGCTCGAAAAACAATTGGAAATTTATCAACCACCAGTCTATCAACCAAACCTGTTTGAATT